TTACATGGTAGAACTGAACATATAAGCTACAAGGGTGACTTTCTAATTTACTATTTCGACTTTCGAAGGTTCATCACACTAACTGATGTCGAGAAGATCGACGAATCAATGCTATTTGGTAATCGCATTTTCACTCTTTTAAATTATTTTTTTAGAATTTTCATGATAAATAATAATTTCTCATATTTAAGACATGTTTAAATGTCATTGGGATTGTGGTCGAGATAAATCCAATTTAATTGAAGAATGTCAAAGGAGTACAAACTCGCATGATTACATTCTCATTAATGGATCCGGAGTAATATTTTAACTTACGCCTACATATTATTATTCATGTATAATATTGTAATGTAAATATTACTTTCACATTTATGATAATATATTTTTTGTTTAAATTAAAAATTAAGGGAAACATTATGCCATGCACTTTATGGGGGACATATGTTGACCAATTTCTGAATTTTGAGAGTGAACTTGCCCCACGACAATCCATTGACTTTGATAATTCAATTAGGGCGTTCGAGAGCATGGGCAGGTATATAAAATTTAATGTCTTCAATTTATATATTTAATTTATCCAAAAGTGTTTAAATTACATTATTTCTTCATAAACAAATAAAGTGCAAGTAACCTCATCAAAGGATATAAAGAGGCTAATTGCTGGCGAAAATGTTCCAGATATTGTGGACTTTCGCAATAGGTAAAGTTACTTTGAATTATTATAATATTCATTAGTTATATATATAATAATAGATCATTAAAAAATTATAATTTTTTATCTTATATAGGGCTGCGGTCGGCCCACTTAGAAGGGCCCGGTTAATTTCAAAGAGTTATGTTGTTGTTGTTTAATATGAACTTCAAGAATTAGCTGATGGTGATGTTGTTGTCAGTTATGTTGACTCACTCTATGAGACTGCTGAGGTATATTTAAATACAATTACTTATGTGCCACTTCTATTTGATGAAAACATGGCTGAAATAGTACATTTGTAAATGCAGGAAACTGATATTTGGATATGTGCTACAGTGGTTTCAATTATAGATGAGTGGTGGTACCACTCATGCAGAAGATGCAAAAGAAAAATGGAGGAGGTTCATGGACAACTTAATTGCAGCAAATATGCTCATAAATTTGACATTTTCCGGTAATAGAAATTACTAATATAATGCAAAATATATTAATTAAATAATGGCCTTGTTTGGTAATTAGCGGTTAGCTTTAGCGGATAGCGGATTGTAATAGCTGTTTTGACCAGCGGTTAATATTGGCTGTTTTGACCGGCTGATGATGTTAGCTGTTCTAAAAAAGATGTTTGGTTAGATAGCTGATTGATTTGTAAAAATATATTTAATATTGTTAACTTAATTATTTTGTTATATATATAAATATTTAAAAAGCAATGAATACCAATTGTATTTTATGTAATTATTTTTTGCATCAACAAAAATTAAATTGATTCTTTAATTAAATTAAGTTTACATACTTATTATAATTAAAGTATATTAAAAGAAAGAATATAAATTAAAAATACAAATGTGTGTTAATGCACTTAAATACAAATTGGTATTTGAAAATGACAACAAAATTTTTATTCTTATCTTTCAAATAGCCCATTAACTGAAATTTAAAAAACTTATAGCAACATTCACATGAAATAAATCCATGAAACTAGATGTGCTAATTAAAATTATATTTGATAATCAAATATTTTGATTAATTATTAATATTTTAAATTACTTTTATCAATATTATAATAATTTAATATTGTTTTAATTAATCGTTGTTATAGTTACCTAAATGCCAAATCATTATAGTTTTAATACTTAATAGTGTTATTTTGTAATTACAATAATAATGATAACAATAACATTAATGTTTAATAGTAATGATGATAATAATAATAATAATAATAATAATAATAATAATAATAATAATAATAATAATAATAATAATATAATATTCATATATGTTAATAGTGTTCCAACAAATATAAGAAAGCAATAAATGTGTCAATATTGTTTTTATGTTAATTTATTGCTTTGATTTTTTTTAGTATTAATTTCTTACTTATGTTCGTAACTTCCAGAATTAATTCATTGTCCAAATCAATTTTTGTTCTTTATTTTTTTTAGTATTTTCAATCGTAAAAAAAAATCATGTTAGCATTGATAAGCAAAAAGCTAAATGAAAATGCTCCTAGTTGTAGCGTTTTCCAAATTAGCGGTTTGGAGCAAAAAGCTAAGTGAAAAAGCTAATTTACCAAACACAACTGGTCAACAAGTCAAATAAGCTATAAAGTGGTCAAACAGCCAAAAGTTGGCTGAAAAGCCAATTTCCAAACGCAGCCAATATATGATGTTGACTTATTTCTTAAGAAACCAGTGTTCAGTCATGACCAGTTATATGTTGCTGTCTCCCGTGTCACTAATCGAAAAAGATTGAAAATCTTAATTTGTGGCGAAGATGACGTGCCAAAGAATGAACCTAATAATGTTGTTGTTGTATATAGGGAAGTGTTCAATAATATATATTTGAGTTCGGGGCCCCTGCTGTGAGAACTTAACACAACACCTGCTGTGTTTAAATCACAACCATTGAATCATGTTAAGTTAACATTATTGTTTAAATCACAGCCATTGAATCATGTTAAGTTAACATTAAATCGCAGCCATTGAATCATGTTAAGTTAACATTATTTAATGTTAACTTAACATGATTCAATGGTTGTGATTTAATGTTAACTTAACATGATTCGATGACTGTGATTTAAACACAGCAGGTGTTGTAAAAAATCTCACAGCAGGGCCCTCGAAATCTATATGTTTATATGTCTATTCCTATGATCAAGATTATTTTGTTATTACACAATTTATATACAAGATTATCTCCTAAAAAGCTCACAAGTCATAATATGATTACTAGTTGCTAATAAAACAAACATTGTGATTTAATCTACAATTGAGGCCCCAATGGAAATTTCACAAGCTGCCCCAATTCCCTCCTCAAATCCTGCAAATCGGCGAGGCCTTTTCGATATTTTCACTCCAGCTGCTTCAGATGTTGTTGTCGCTGCTTTTGCTACTTCTATTCACACCCTTAAAGCTTTCGTTTGTTGCGTGGAATTAGCTTCATTACCTATAGCTTTGAAGAACCTTGCCTTTTGTCTTAAAGATTGCTTTCTGGAATTGTTTCTTTTTTCTGATAGTCATGGTGAGATGGTTAATTTGATAAAATTTTGAGCAGTTTGCTTCAACAGCATTTCTGGATGTGTATTGTATTCTATTGAGTAATTATGAATTCTGGTGTGAAGATAATCTGTTAGGGCTATCTCGAACCTTATTTACGCCGTTTGTTTTTATGGCGGATGGTGATTTTTGACCTTCATGTTCTATGTTTGATGGCTTTGTTTGTGTGGTTTAGTGATTCTTTATGGGTTGTTCGTCTTATGTGGTATCTTCAATGTCATCTCTTTGTGGCAAAAATCAGATGCTTATATGACAGACTTAGTTGCACATACACTGCATCTATACCTCAGCATTCGTTCTTTGAATACATCTTGAAAGGACAACAGATTGATGAATAAAATCTTTTGGTTCGTTAACTCGAAACTTCATCTTAACAAACAAACACATTTGAAATATTTACGTTAACCTATGATGGCTAATCTTTTATGATTTCCTAAAATCCTCAATTGTCGCTTGTACCCTCTATTAGGCCATTGTATAATAAGCTTCTATGTTGCATATGGAGTGTTCCAGTAGAAACAAATTTCTTTGATAGAGACATTTTGTGTTACTGTTGGTTACACTAGTCAAGTTCTATCTTATGTGGTTGGTATCTTTAATTCATCCAAATTTCTGGTGTCTTATGCTTATGTTTGTCCTGCTTGTAGACACCGTTTAGGTCCTGACCCGGCCCAGGCCCAAGTTCCTGACCCAGTCCAAGGTCGATTAGATGAGGCGGATGGGCCCACTACTCTTCCTAGCTGGCGGGCCTGCTCGAGAAATTCCCTCTGAAGAGGCCATTTTCGCCCAGGTACTACTCTTACTTAATTTAAGATCTTTGTATGAATAGAAAGATGAAGAGGACTTCGTTATTATTTTGTTTTGTTTTGTTTGATATTATATATATTTTTGTAGGCACTTCTTAAACATTATGTTTATTGATAAATAAAAAATAAATTCCAACTAAGGCACTCATCTAAAAAGAATAAAGGGTCGTGGATTTGGAAGAATGTGAAGCTAGTTTGTGGGGTGGCTGCAGTGAGTGGAGTCTGAATATAGAAGAGTAGTGAAAGGGAGTGGATGAAGAAGCTGTTGGATGGTTGAAACTGTTTCTGAAAATGAAGTGGTGTAACAAATGTTGAAGTGGAAAAGGGTCTGAAGGAAAGTAGAGTTTAATTATTGAAAGTTGTCCATTGAACGAAAAGAATCTCAGTATTAGTTACTTAGAAATTATACATATATATATATATGTATATGTGTATGTATATGTCACATTCTGATTCGATCACACTGTCTTCAAAGTCTATTTCCAGGCAACGAGAGTGCATTCGAACACCCATCGGAAATAGATATGGTCATATGGTTTAGTTATTATCTTGAAAATTATTATAATATATTCCAAGCCCCAAGTAGATTGTCCATTTTTTAAATCAAATTAGAGCCTTCTCTTGTTCTAGCTTCTAGGCATTAATGACATGTATGCAAAAAAGTTCCCCAAAATCAAATTACTGGGGAAGTCCCAAATGAAATCTTGAGCTCAAATTACTCGGGTTTGATCAAATGGCGTCCCATTCTAATATGCCTTTAGGTACTTGCAATTGTATAAAAGTTTTGATTTTATTTGATCAAGCCCATTGTTTATTACTAGTACATCACAGTCTGGAACATAATAACTACCTGGTCATATATGCCACCGTCTATAAACATACTATTGGAAACCATGTTGTATTATATATCAATACCTATTGTCTTGAAATAATGGACAATGCATATTATTGACGACTTGTAGTGTCAGCCACAAATTTCGTTTTAATCCTCTGCAGTGTAGCTGCTGTTTCCATCATGTTAATCCTTTCGTCGGGCATAACAGCCAAACATCTCATTGCCAAACCAAAGATAGAAGAGACACATTCTTCCCTTGCTTGAAAATGTTGATCGTCACTTGCTAGCAAATCAGTGCCCAAGATTTTAGCTACTGCATTTTCTCGTAAACCTTCAAGTACCCACTCCTTCATGCTCATCTCTTCATTGAAAACATCATCAGTCGGCTTCTTGCTCGTGAACATTTCCAGCAACAGTATGCCATAGCTATAAACGTCTGCACTTGTTGACACTCTGCCTCCTGATCCATACTCTAATTGTATCACAAGCATGACATTATCATTGGGTTAGTTTAGATTTTTTCAATTTAAATAAACAATTAAGATGGGAATGATTTTTTAAATTTAGTAAAGAATAGTTACGTTAAATTTGAAAAAGAAAAACTTTCTAAGTGACCTATTATGTAAAATAATATAGAATGAAAAACAGAAAAATACGAAAAAAGATAATAAATAAGGCATTAAGATATTCAACATGAAGAATGTCACCTGGTGCGGCATAACCAATTGTCCCCAAGGTTTTCGTAAGAACAATATTCTCTCCATCATCAAAGAGCTTTGCGATCCCAAAATCACAAAGGTGGGCAACCATATCCTCATCAAGCAATACATTACTCGGCTTTATATCACAATGCACGACCGGGAATGTATGGCCATGATGGAGGTATTCCAAGGCTAATGCAACATCTATTGCAATTTGCAGCCTTGATATCAAATCCAAGACACAGTTTTCCAAGTGCAACCATTTCTCGAGGCTGCCATTTGGCATGAACCCGAGAATCAAAGCTTTGAATTCTGTGTTGCTACAACAACCAATTATTTGGACCAAGTTTCTGTGTCGAATGCTGCTAAGTATTTCACATTCCGTATCAAAACTGCGGATAACTCTTTCTAATTGCGAGTTGAAGACTTTCACTGCAACATCTAGTCCATCAGAAAGCACCCCTTTGAAAACCGAACCAAAGCTGCCTTTTCCAAGTAAGTTTGTTTCGCTGAAGGCATCAGTTCCCCTAACAAGTTCTATGTATGAGATTCGTCTCCAAGTAACACCAAGCGAAACATCATCAGCAGAAGCAGTCCCGCTTTTTTGTTTTCGTGTCCTCACAAACACAAATAGTATTATGGCTGTTAATACGATCACTGAAATGAATGAAGGCCCAATATACTTCATCAGCCGACCAACTTTCTTCAGTCTAGAGTTATTGAGATTATTCCCAATGCATGGAGGCACTTGAAATCTTTGATCTCCACAAAGAGCAGAGTTGTGAAGAAAAGATTGAGCAGTAATGTTAACAAAAGGGCCACCTGTTGGAATCATTCCTTCCAATTTGTTGTATGACACGTTAAAGTATTGAAGGAATTTGAGGCCCTCTAAGGACTCTGGGATCAGCCCCGAAAGATCATTATTCGATAAATCCAATTCCCTCAAGGTTCTGATATTCCCCAGTGATGGAGGAATGGATCTTTCAAATTTGTTATCCGACAAATTTAGAGATGTTAATGATTCACAACCATCGATTGATCTTGGAATGCCTCCGGAAAATTGATTGCAAGACAAATCTAGTTGATTTAGTTGTCTCAAACCTGCAATTTCATACGGAAGTTGACCACTCAAACGGTTTGAGGACAAGTTGAGAAACAAAAGGTCCTTCAAGTTCCAAAAGTTGAGAGGTATGCTGGAATTCAACTTGTTGGAATCTAAGTAGACATTTCGTAGGGATTTAAGCTCACCGAAGCATTCAGGTATGGGACCTGTGAGGTTATTTTCATTCAGGTACAATTCACCTATATTACTCATCCCACAAATCTCTTGAGGGATAAACCCATGCAGTTGATTGGCATTAAGAAGTAATCTTTGAAGTCGATTTAATTTCCCTAATGTTGGAGGTATAACTCCTGTGATTTGATTTTCTCCTAAATCTAAAAGTTGCAGACCAATCAGGTTTCCGATGGTAGAAGGAATACCTCCATTAATGTTGCAGCCATGTGCCCCAAAGAATGTAAGAGATTTTGATAAATTCCCAATGGAATCAGGGAGGACGCCGTTAAGTGGGTTGAACGAAATCACTAACTCCTCCAAAAACTGGCAATTAGCTAATGAAGAGAGAAATCTTAATCCACTCAGAGAATTACGCCAAATGCGAAGCTTACGCAAGAGCCTTAAGTTGCCCAAGTTGGGTATGGTGCCAATGAATGAGTTATTTGACAATTCCAATCTATATAAATTAGAAGCATTGGTGATCGAAATCGGAATCTCCCCATTGAGTTCATTGCTCGACAAATGCAATTCTATTAGATTTGTAAGAGAGAGCTCGGGAGAGAGGGGAAGAATTCCATTGAAACGATTCTGTGAAAGATTTAAAATCTTCAAAGTTGATATGTTGAAGATCCATGGTGGGATTGATCCAGACAATTGATTGAAGGCCACGTAGAACGTCTCAAGGAATGCCAACTTATTCAGCTCTTTTGGTAAAGTACCTGTTATAGTAAGTACATCACAATCATAATTACTTTAATAACTATTCCTCCATCACTTACTTGCATGTTTGATAATTTTTTCCAATTAAAAAAAAAAGAAATAAATATTAATGACCAAAAGAAATAGGTAAATGATTATGTTGAGAACATATAGAGTCAGAAGACGGTAGGGTATAACCCCTCTATATATAATTCTCGAATGCGCTGAGCCTACGTGACTGTTTTTGGTATTACGTAATCTTACTTGGCGAAAAAATCATGCTTCGTAATATATATATATATATATATATATTCCTCCACGTTCACAACACTTGACATTACCTAATTTTGTTAAAATGGGACGAAAATTGCAGTTTATCATAATTAATTAAGACTACATCAACATTGTTAATAGTGAAACCCATAAATTGGTACTTTAATTATTTTGTGTCATTGTCTAAAGACATGATGAATTAGCATCAAACCAAACGAAAATAGCTCATACCTGTCAAATAGTTGGAAGAAAGGTCTATTTCATTCAAGGCAGTACAATTTCCAATTTCCTTTGGTATTGACCCTGTAAATTATAAGAACAAAAACATGATAAAGTGAAAAAAACTTGTCCATTGTAAATGGAGTTGGAAGAGTCATTGTTGACAATTCTTCTAGTGTAGTGCTAATAATGGACTAGATCAAAATGGCTCAATTAAATTCTAGTGCTTCTTCTATTAGTGAAGTTTCTAAAAATAAAAATATATATCAAACGACGCAATGTACCTTGGTCGCTACGGAAACAGTCTCCTTGTATAATTACAAGAGTAAGGTCTGTGTACAACTGACCCCCCAGACCCCAACCTGTTGGGAATATACTGGGTATGTTGTTGTTGTTGTTGTATGATAAAGTGAAAAAAAAAAAGAAAAAAAAAAAGTGTACCTGAGAAATCTAAATTATAGAAATCGATATATGTCCAATGGTGGATGTTTATTCATGATTTATTTTGTTGGTACCTACAATTCATCTATTTTTTTAATTAATTAAAAAAAAAATTAATGACCAAAAGAAATATATATTCCTCCACGTGCACTACACTTGTCTTTTTTTTTCCAAACGATAGAATTTCATTAAAAACACATAATTACAACACATAGAACGGCTAAAACAGCCGAAGTCGACAGCCAAAGCCGAAATGAGAGGACATCCCGAAGGAGCCTAAATGCCACAACACGTCCACAATAAACCGAAAAAACAGCACTCCGACAAGAGGAGAAAACAACTCCTACTAGAGGAGGAACCCACTCCTACAAGAGGAGAAACAAAACTCCCAAAAAGGAGATCGGAACACAAACACACACAACAAAAACAAAACCAAAAACAACACCAACACACACGTCACAAACACACGCACAATGCACTACACTTGTCATTTCCTAATTTTGTGAAATGGGGTTGAAAATTGAAATTTATGATAATTGTCAATTTTTTGTTTGACCCGGACCGGTCATTGTAAAGTCAAATTTTAGTGAATGCTAAAAAAATAAATAGGTAAATGTTTATGTTGAGAACATATAGAGTCAGAAGACGGTAGGGTATATTTATTTTGTCATTAATTTGCTAAAGTGGTTAATCAAACGTCATAATTATTTTTTCAGGGGAATTAGCATGAAACTAAACAAAAATAACTCATACCTGTCAAATAGTTTCTCGGAAGGTCTATTTCCTTCAAATACGTACAATTTCCAATTTGCTTTGGTATTGGCCCTGTAAATTATTTGAACAAAATTATGATAAAATGGAAAAAAAGGGTACCTGAGAAATTTAAATAATAGAAAATTGATGTAGAGGAAATTTTTAATTTGGTATCGAAAATTGATCTGCTTTCATTTCTTTTACCCCAAATTTCGTCATTTATTTTGTTACTCTAAATTGTAGGTTAATCATATTTAATACTACCGCCTATTCTTTTTAAATGTCATTTTGGCATTGTCAACTATTAACCGAATAAATGTCGTTTTTGATATTTTGTACTATATATTTTTCCATTATTACTCTCATCTAACTAATAAGTACACTACGTTTTTTCATATTCACTCTTCATTTTTTCTCAAAACAATCATCTCTATCCTCATTAATGAGGGTTATTATTGGTAAAAAAAATATTTTTAATAATTCGAGCTTTAGTTTATTTTGTATTCTTTGTTTACAGTTCAGTTGCCTGCTTCTTACATGTGCCAGAACTGAAGCTTTTTTGTTTTGCTTTTCTTTGTTTCCTCAAACACTTTCATATAGCACACTTAGGGATTAAGTATAAGTAAAAAAGTCCACGGAACGTGGCCGAAAAAATAGTTGATAGGATCGTGAATGTGAATAGTTGTGGCTCCACTAAAAGGGAGTTCAAGTCTTATAAGTCCAAACTATGTCATTGTACGATTTATCAATGAAAGAGCTCTGAGAGGAAGTAAGACGCTTCCCTGAAGAGTTGTTTAACTCTTCAGTTTATTGCTTCCACATTTATAATTTCGGAGCACGTTCGTACTACATTTCGCTCACTCGTAATTAAATATACGTTTTAGGTATTTTCAGGTAATGTATGATGATTTCAAAAAATAATTTAGTCCCTCGGCAGAAATACATGTATCCAAGATTTTGGAATGTGAACTTTTATTTAGAGATAAAATTCATTCCCAACTCGTGGGGCGATGCATCAATGGAGTAAGCACCAATATGTCTAGAGACATAGGAATGTAAGAGTTTATACAATGATAAAAAATATCAGTAATTTTACTGACATAGTTATTTCATAGAGGTATTTATGCATTGTTAGTAGAAATACCTTATTATAAAGATTATACGATCATGAAATTTGACTATGTATTGGGTCAGAATGTTTCTTAAGTGTTTGAATAAAATTGGCGTTGTACCAAATAAATTAAAAGGAATTTTGTAATAGTATTGATGTATTGGATTCCAACGAGTATGCATGTTTCTTATGAGAACGTCAAAATCAAAATGAAAGAAAATCTTAGTGTTTTTTATTAGTGATTTGTTTTTTTATATATTTTTGTTGGAGGTTGTAAAACGTTATTTAACTCTTTTTATATTAAGACATCATTACGTTAATTTTAAAAAAAAATCACGTTCATTTGTTCTATATTTTATTTCATTCTTACAATGATATGTTTAATAAATAATTAAATTACTTTTACAAATTTACTTAGCGAAAATTATTCGACACCACATGCATTGCAAGTACAATTTAGTTGTACAAAATAATGTTATATAGTGTAATTAAAACTTGAGAAATTATTTTAAAAAAAAACCCAAGTTCCTGAGCTCCGATCTTATATATATTTGGTGGAATCCCAAGCTTTGTGCACTTGTATATATTTGGTGTAATCTAATTAATGTGATGGCGAGAGGATATGCGCTTATATATACCTGTAAACTCGTTAGTCCACAGATACAACCTCCTAAGCATGCTCAACCTTGCAATTTCGCTTGGGATTCCCCCATTGAAACGGTTGGTGGATAACGAAAGGACCTCAAGATTTGTGCAGTTGCCTATATTTGATGGAATGCTGCCCTCCAATTGATTTCTCGAGGTAATTGTACGAAGCCCAAATCTCTCTAATGGATGACATATTGAAGATAATGTACGGAATGGAGCCAGTCAACTGGTTATGCGACAAATATAGTATTTGCAGGGAAGAACAATTGCCAATCTCCTCCGGAATTTTTCCCCTGAGTTTGTTGTTTCTAAGGTTCAGTAGCTCAAGCTGAGGTAAAGCGCCAAACCACACCGGAATTTGTCCGGTCAATGAATTGGCTTCCATATCTATAAGCCTCAGGCGCTGCAAGAGGGACAACTCTTGAGGTATGGACCCTGAAAAATTGTCGGTAATATAGTTTGTCATTGTGAAACTGCATTAATCAAATAAGAAAGCCACTGCATTATTCTTAAAACAATGGTTTTGCTTTGATTAGTGATATATCCAACTCAATGGTTTTGTTCTGGGAACATGAGGTTTTTTTGTTGGAAAAAATGTTCATAACTAATATTTGGAGGGAATAACAATTGCTAATGTCCTTAGGGTTTTCTACCTGTGAACGTGTTGTTGTTCAGACGCATTATCTCGAGTTGAGTTAACTCCCCAAACCAGGTTGGTATTTGTCCGGCAAACGAGTTGAATCCCATATCCATAGACCTCAGGCGGCGCAGACGAGACAGCTCACGAGGTATGGGCCCCGTGAAATTATTATAACTGATGTCTAAGTATCTTAAAAACGTCAAGTTCCCAAGATGTGGGGACAGAGTTCCTCTGAGGCCAAAACCGGAAATGTTAAGTCCCGTGACTCTGTTATTGTGTTTGATGCCGCACGAAACACCAATCCATTGACAAACGGAGGAAGAAGAAGTGTCAGTCGACCAGTTTGTGGCCAAGATACGGTAAGGGTCGGAGGTGATGGAAGTTTTGAAATGGACAAGTGCGTTTTCATCGGTTGTGGTGGCTAAGGACGTTTTACTGTTAATGGTGCTACTGAGTATTATAATTAGCAGAGTGGAGAAGATGAAGAAAGGATAATTATTCTCCATTTTCTTTTGGGCAGGTGATTGAGTTGATTCATATTCTAGGCTGTTGGCACACAAGCATATATATAGCCACAAAGAGGAAATTTACATGACAACATGCGGGCCTCATTTAGATAATGTCATAATTGAGTTTGCCTTATTTTCTTGGGGATAAGAGACTGATTTACGTGGATTTGGGGCAAACTGAAAACGAATATTTCGCATTACAAAATAGAAAATAACAATTTTAAGTGGAGGGGGTCCATTATCATAAGTATAGAGTCAAATTTTAATCAAATGCATTACAAGACCTTGACTCTCAAGTCAATGCTTATTGTCATTACTCGGAGTATGGAGTAAAAGTAGGGTCCTTGCTTGCAGAGAAGACTGTTTAATTCATATAAATTCATTTTTTATATATATTTAAATTTTTGTGTGTACTTTCTCGTGCAGAAATGAAAGGTTTACAGAGTTTCGACTCATTTTCTCACAAATATTTTCCCTTTCAAAAGTGTGGATAGTTGGAATTGTTTTTGTGACTAATGTTGAAATTGAAAAGGAGCAAAAGTGAAATGTAGTTTTGTTATTGAAATTTGTTTTTCTCCTTGAAAGCAAAGAATCTCTAATTTGGTTACTTGAAGAAAATATGGCACACACACATAAAATGATTTACCTTATTTTAATCTGGAAGACTTTCTGTTTTACGTGGTATGGGCAAATTGAAAACGGGTCTAGTCGTGTTTAACAAGTTATATAGGAGCCTCTGTTTGCGCTATCTCACCATGTCCTGGAAATGACACACAAGAAGACTACTTGGATTCTGGACTTTAAATTTTTGTAATGTCTTAGGTTTAGTTGCTAAAATTATCTTGATATTTACGTTGATTTGAGTTGCAGCTAATTGGGATTATATTGGCTATATTTTGAAATTAAAAATTTTCTCGTGATATGTGTTTCTGTTTTCTTACTGCAAAACCTCAATATGTTATACTTTATTAAGAAAATGCAAAACATAAGTTGGTTTTTGTTATACCTTAAGGTGGGTGCTTGTGAGGTTGAAGATAAATGGCTAATTTTTATGAAAGGTCTAATTTCTTTTTGTTGCCTGTGATCTTAATATGCTAAGTGCCAACTGTTATTTCTTTTTCTTTACTTGTGTGTGCAGTCGCGGATGAACTTCACTTGAGGGAACTGTGGAAGTCATGACAATGACTGCTTACTGAGGCTACTTAATTATCAATGTCCGCTTACCGTTTTAGTCGAAACTTAAGTTAAATATGATTAAGCTATAGTGCGTAGTTTGTTTTCGTGAGTCATTTGCAGTTGGACTGCACTATTATATTTCAGTGTGTGGAATATGTGGCCCTCCATTTGAGTGTCTCTGAGTTAGTGTTGTGAACATTATTGCAAGACCTTGACTCTCAAGTCAATGTTTATTGTCATTAAGCCTATATCAATTTGTCCACAGTGTGTTGATTGTGATATGAAATGTTGGACCACACAACACTAATTATAATTTTCTGTCAAAATATGATGGCCCCCTTATATATTGATATGTTTTTGGCTGAATTAGTGTAATGGCGATGGTTCGAGTTTTTGATCAACCGGTTTAGTGTGGGCTTGTTTCGCTTGCCAGCAATGATTTTCTGGTTGTTATCTTTGCTGGGAAAATTTTCATGAAAACACAGTTTTACATAACTAATATTGAGACATGAGATTGATGACTTGTGTTCACTTCGCTCATCCTTTCAACTTCCTAGACCAGTCGGAAGCTCGAGCTTCTTATCTCATTTTGGTCTTCTCTTCATGAACTATAGGAGCTCTTATTTGATGTATTTCGTCATGGATTGACTTGATATTTTAATTAAATTGTAGGATTTTTATTTGTTTATTTATTTATTTATTTATTTTTTTTGGTGGTTTGAATTTGATTCAAGATGAGGAAGCAAGATGTAACAATTTGTACATGTTAGGAGATTAAGTAGTATGTCTTGAAAAATAGGTCTAGAAGTTAAAAAAAAAATAAAAAAAAAATAAAAAAAAAATAAAAAAAAATCTTAATTTGAGAGGTTAGAAAAAAAAGTTATTCCTAAATTTTATTAAATCTTCTAGCATAACAAACTTTCGGATCCCAACTATTTTTCACAACATACCTTCTTGATGATACTTCTTTCTCATGATTTGCATATTGATTCGTTTTCACTCCAAAAAAAAAAGGAAAAAAAAAAACTACCGCATGTATGCTTGGTTAAATTGCAGTTAAATTTAATTTCAACCTTTGTAAATTGAAGCAAGAAAGTCAACAGATCGGGCTTCAAATACTCATGTATTTGGCTCCTAATTTCTTTATTATTTCACGTTCACGTAAAGAGAAGAAGATAATAATAAAACAAAATTAAAATTACAGGTGAATTGTATTTGAAACTCTATTGTATTTTGTTGTGTACTTAAATTCTCTCGTCGGTGTGACACTCGAATATATTGAGCACTCCCGATAAAGTGCACAGAGTGAGTTGAAAATTTAAGATCTTTTATTTTTATTTTTTTTCTTAATATTACAACGGACATGTCCAACGGAGGCCTCCCGATGCTCCGGTGCGTAGGGGAGTTCTACAGCGGGCCGATGTTGTTAAGAGAGGTAGAGGTCGGCCTAAACTCACTTGGGAAGAGTCGGTTCAGAAGGACCTTAAAGATTGGAATATCTCCAAAGATTTAGCGGTGGATAGGAGCGCTTGGAGACTAGCGATCAACGTGCCGGAATCGTGACTTTTGCTCTTTTCTCTTTTGCTCCAATCTTTTTTTTTTTTACCACTATTTCTATTGAGTTTCATCTCTAGCCTACCCCAACTTGTTTGGGACTAAAAGGTTTTGTTGTTGTTGTAATATTACAAGTCTGGATTTTCAAATGTCTCATTTTTATTTTTTATTTTATAATATGAGGTGTATCAATCAAATTGCTAATGAAAAAAAGGTGAAAAGATGTGACTTTCATAGCTAAAAATAAAAAGGTACTCAATCAAATTGCTAATGAAACAAAAATTCTGATTTAATCTACAATTGAGCTTGTATTATCAAAAGATAGCTGCCCTTAGAGATGTAGAGATGTTAAACGGTCCTTGGCCCGATGAGCCGACCCGTTTAGCCCGAAGAAAAATAGGGTTAGGGCATTTTTTAGTAGCCCATTTAAATCAGTGCTTTTTAGGCCCGGACCGTTTAGACCGAAGTCCGATAGGACTAGCCCGAGGCCCGCTAGGGCTAGCCCGTTTAACTTGTATATTACAACTTTACTATTCTACTTTATATGTAACTATGAGTTGTAGCCGATTATTATGATTTTGAAAGATAAATATTAACAATTTTGTTATTCTACTTCACACCAAATTATTTAAGCCAATTAGAACGGTTAATAGAAAACACATAAGACAAAAGCGAAGCAAAGTGAAGTCATAGAGGAAAGAAAAGGAAGGAAGATGCAATCCAACGAAGGTACTACCATACCAGGAAAGTGGCTAAGAATAGACCTAACACATAAAACATAGTGATAAAATATATAATTAAGCAGTAAGATACAATATCGTGAAAATTTCCAAAGCGTACAAAAATAAGTAGTAAAATGGTAATTATAAGTAATAGTTCGAATATTTTTTTCTTCTTTTGAGAAAACATGTCATTTAATTGTTTGTAACTAGTGTTCATACATGAAGCCCGTTTGTAATTTTTATTTATATGTTTTTTTATATATTATTATTATTATTATAGCCCGTTTAGCCCGAAGCTCGCTAGGGTTAGGGTTAGGTCTTTTTATTGGTAACTCGTTAAAATTCGGGCTTTTTAGGCCCAGACCATTTAACCCGAAGCTAGGGCCAACCCGAAACCGCAAGGGGTAGCCGGTTTAACATCTCTAGCTACCCTTACAAAATAAACGTTTTTAGATACAAAAAGCATGTCTGCAACTTAGTGCGACTAAAAAAAAAAAAAANNNNAAAAAAAAAAAAAAAAAGAAAAAACATTTCGTGCGACTCTAAGCTTAGCTTCTCGCAGGCACCGGCGGCGATCTCTTCCCTACGCACCCGAAGCTATCAGCAAAGTCCTCCAATGGAGATTGATTTCACAGGCTGCCCCAAATCGACGAGGCCCTTTTCGGTATTTTCACTCCAGCTGCTTCAGACGCTGCTTTTGCTGCTTCTATTCATACCCTTAAAGCTATCTCGCCAATGTAAAATGAATCACTTGTTTATCTGATGGTATATGAATCACTTGCTGGAGAAAGTAATATTTTTACTGTGCACATTAATGATTTATTGGTTCGATTCTCGCGGTGCCTGCGAGAATCGAGAGAGTTGAATGCACATACACTGCAACTATACCTCAGCATTTGTTCTTTGAATACGTCTTTGAAGGACAAAAGATTGTTGAAAATAAATATTTTGGTTTGTTAGCCCGGAACTGCATCTTAACAAACAAACACATTTGAAAATTTACTTTCACCTATGATGGCTAACTAATCTTTTATGATTTACTGATATCCTCCATTGTCGCTTGTACCCTCTATTAGGCCGTTGTATAATAAGCTTAAGCTTCCATGTTGCAAATGGATAGAGTGTTCAAGTAGGAACTAATTTCTGTGGTAGATACATTTTATTTGTTACTATTGGTTACACTAGTCGAGTTCTATCTTATGTAGTTGGTATCTTTATTTCATCCAAATTTCTGGTGTCTTATGCTTATGTTTGTCCTGATTGTAAACACCGCTTAGGTCCTGACGAGGGGATGAGACGAGGGGATTGGCCCACGATGCTTCCTAGCTGGCGGCAGGCCTGCTCGGGAACTTCACTCTGAACTCTGAAGAGGGTCGTTTTTACCCCAGGTACGGTCTCTACTTAAATTTAGATTTTGGTATGAATATATATATTTTATATATACTGGAATATGAAAGTGATCCCAGTGGAAAACCTGCATGCTTAGGAAAGATGAAGATGACTTAGTTATATTTTTTTTTGTTTGTTTGTTTGATATTATATATA